TTATGGAGAATCGGGCCAGACCTGAGTCCTGGAGAACCGTAACCATGAAAACCAGCATCTCCAAGAGGGATTTAGTTAACGAAACCCGAGTTTACCACAACCTCATGGTACCACCTGATGAGAAAGGGTTGATAGTCTCAACTGTTTTAACATAGAGTAGCCATATGTAAGAAGGTTAAAATTAAAAATAAATAAATGAATAAATAAATAATAAAAAGGTAAGGACTGGAGTTTAGCCCAAATTCATTATGGCTTTTAGGAGCTCAAATCTTCTTGATCTCAGTGAGCTCACATCTCAGAATTTGCTATTTGTAACACTTAAAATCTGAGAAGAAAGAGAAAATGACTTACGACAAAGAGCTCATCAATCTGTTTAGCAATCAAAAGAAAGATCAAGGAAGATCAAAAGGTGATTTGATTACAGCACAAGTGTCTCAAAGGGAACGAGAGGGGAACAAAAAACCCCCAAAACACTCTCTGGGTAGGAAAGGACTCTCTAATACAGTGAAGAAAGCCACAACAAACATCATTGTCTAAAAGCTCCAGACAAATTCATATGGGAAGGCATGAATTTTTAATAATGAGGTTGACAAATCACTCAAACCATCACTGAAGGATGGAGGGTTTTTTTAGCTTCCTAAAAACGGTGACAAATTTCTCATCTGCCTCCGTGTCTTCATCAGTAGGTTTGATATAGCACTTCTTTCAGAGTAAGAATACAAATACATGCTGAATGGGGCAGTAACAGTCTGTTAACACCTTAATACTATTTTAAAAGTGAAAAGTTTCTGCTGAAAAAACTAGTTATAATCCATATTTTGATTTTTTCAAAGTTATACTGTAATCAAGTTTGGGTGTTATGATTTTATGCACAATAGTCTTAAGGATTCAATGTCTGCAGATAGATAACTTATTCGGTTCAAAAATCAAAAGAAGAGAGCATACATTTTCCCCAAGATAAAATTAAATTTAAAAATATTTAGTTCAAGTACTTGTGGAACGTAAGAAAGCCAGTGTTTCTGAGAGAAATCTAAAAAAAAAAATCCTTGAACACTTAGGTTTTACAGGCACAAGTTCTTATGAGTTTCTTCAGCAAATCATATGACTGCTTAAAAGATGCAGACAGCAACATTACTTTCTCCTAATTATGACAAAATACTTACACTGTTATAAAGAGAAGTGCTTTTGCGTTTACAGAGAGCATTTTGTCTTACAGTATTGTAGCCACAGACCCACCCTCTTGTTCACAAACATTCCTGAAAGGGAACATATTACTAAGAATGAAAAACTAAGCAAGTACACGTTTTCAAGACCAGAGAACTCAAACCCATGATGATTTTTGATAACAGTGAATGAATAGTCAAAGAACAGTGTTTGGAAGGAAAGTTTTTTGCATTTTCATTCCCATTGCTGCCTCAAGTCTGTTTCCCGATTGTTTCAGCATCTTGGCAACTGTGATTCTTTTCCAAACATGTGAACCAGTCCTTTTCTAACTAGCTGAGATAAAAAGTGAAAACAAAAAAAAAAAATCTGACTTCTGATTCTGAATGAACTGCCTGATAATGATTCAGTTCTCACCAACATTCACTTTATTCCAGCTAATGCTTTTACTAGCAGATAGCTACTCCTGCTGCTACCAGTTCAGTTAGGAAGCGACATCACTGCAACATTTTCAGAATTGTATAGTATTCAGCAATCTGTTAGGAGGATAGACAGGCAAGTCAAGTAACCATTTATCTACAGTTTTGATTACTTGCTGCTCCATGGCAGAACCCCAAGCAGAAATAACTGGAAAACACAACACCAATGAAAAACTATTATCTAGGATTAGATATTCTACTGTGACAAACTATCAACCTAATTATCTACAAAAGTTGTCCTAATAAAATAAACTTCTCCTGAGCCTACAATGCCCAAGTAGTACACTAAAGAACAACGGGTCATTTATATTACAGATTTCATACAGAATTCTGCAGAAACCTTCTATCCAAATAAAGTAAAGCCAGATCCTGGCAATAAAGCTTGGAAGGACCAGTCCGCCCTTTTATTAGATTGTACAACACAGAGGGGACAAGTAGAAAAATGAAGCTGCAAATCTCTAATTCTAGTAAGACATGAGCTTTCATACTCCTAGCAAATCTGATTTCTTTATCTGAACAGTCTCCAGAAACAAGTCTACTACTGTAGAAACTTCATACTTCACTGAATCATAATAACTATATCAGCTATGAGTTGGGGTGAGTTGTTGGTTTTTTGTTTGGCTTTTTTTTTCATAATTGTAAAAAGTCTCTGCAAATTATTATTTTTTTAAAATAACATTTGTGGTATTTCCAAGTTTCTGGAAACATTTTAAAGCATTACTGAACCTCATTTTACAACTAAATGCATTACCTTAAGTATTATTCAGTTACATGAAAACAATCTATGCACATCTGAGTTCAAGTATCAAATTATCAGTTTAGAAAAACATGCTTTTTGTTTAACAGTCTTCTTGCATTTGAAACAGGCTATATTACATTACCTATCTAGATAATTCAGGTCCACATAAAATAATTAAAAATGTTTCATCCACAAGTCTACCTTTTCTTTCATCTAATGACAAGAATTAACGTTTCAACCTTTCTACTACTTTTGTAACTGTTGCAAAACCAAAATCTCATAACACAATGCCAACTTCCCCCCTCCCTGCCAAGTAAGCAAGTCCTTACTACTGACAACCCAGACAAGCTTGTTGCTCAGTATCAAAACCTACCCCTGGCACCAGCCATTACATCTAAAACGTAGCTTTCTAAAGATTAGATAGCTATTAGACGAGTGCATGAAACTAACAACTCTTTTTAAAGGCTAGAAAGATGCAGAAAATGTTGCATGTTTTTTTCAGATCACTGTAGAACATCCGTTGCAGCAACTAATCCTGCAATAAAGATTGGCTAGTACAATCTATAGCTGCCAGGCAGCTCTGTTGAAATCATCTGGACTATAAACACGCAGGAAGAGATTATTGAGACAGGAGGTATGGCCTTAAGGCTCCTTCTATTCCATCACGCAGTATTAATACACCCTTTGTTACTGATGTGAAAGGGACTGCAACCCTTTTCCAGCCTCTCATCAACATGCCTGTATGCCACGGTATTGAGACACGCAGGGGAACTGACATCAACATTGATTTTTTTCCCTGTGATAAGAACAATTCCTTATCCTTTCGAAACATATAGTACTTCTGTGTATTCAGATAGCATTTGAACTGCTACCTGTGGAAATATAACCTGCAATAGAAGGCAAAATATACCATGCCAAACTTGTAAGGTAAACTGAATTTTACCATGAAACAACATTTCTTGCAGGAAGTGTCATTTACGCAAGATTCTACTGCCTCTTGCACTCCTCAAAGATAAGCTTGGGTATTTCTAGAAATCATTAGGACTCCTCAGCAGTAGATTGCTCGAGTCTACGTTTCGATTTCAAAGAATCTTGAAAGCCATCAACAGATGGCTCTGGAAGATTTCTACCTTGTCACTTGCACCTGAATGGAAGAACTCTCCCTTTACGACAGCAAACGTGTCCAGGATTTTCCTACTGCTTTAGAAACCTCTTCTCAGTTGGTCAGGGTTTTTTTTAAGACTGGGAGAGTTTAGTTTTAATGGCCAGAAGACCAATTTTTCTTTCTTTTTGGATGACAGCTGCTGAGTACAGATCACTAGAGTCATCATTCTTTTCCTGGTACAAGTCCTACAGCACAATAGCAAATTTTGATTCTGCAGAAGTCACATCAACAGCTCAGCTTAAGATTCTCCTACGTTCGTCCCCTCAACACACACACACACACCCCAACAGCATGTAAGGAGAGAAGATACAAAAGAAAACGTAAAGACAATAACACATATAATTTACCTTAATTTTCAGTGAAAATCTCTAATTACATGAACCAAGAAATGAAAAATACAATAATGATTTTGGCCTTCAGACAACAGAGTTTGAATACTGTGTTAAATCAGAGTACTCTGCCTAAAATAGACTTTTCACTGTGATCTATTATCAAGCTTGATTTTAGGTCCATTTTCAGAAGTAAAAAAAGAGATGTTTCATTTTATTTTCAAGTGCTGCATGCAATATGTGAAAATATGTGTACATATTCACATATATATGCACACACACATATATATAATATAGAATGTCTTGGTCTTTTGGTTTTGATTCTAGCAAAGACCATTAAAACATTTATCAAATTGACAATATATTTCATGGGAGAAATAATTTATTTCACTGACTTTGAAACAGCTAACAGCCTTTTACCTGTGAAAGATGAGACTCCTGGTGGGAGAGAACACTATAGCAGCAAAAGGAACATAACCACTTTGATAATAAAATTTTTCCTAACAGATCACAAGTTGCTGGATGATGGGCCCCACATATCAAGAGTTACATTGCAAATACTACAGAGTAAGATTCTCCTGTTAGAGCTGAAACTACTTTAGGTTTAAGAGAATCAGAACAGAACAATGAACAAGTAGTATCTTTTTAGCATAATGTAGAGTTAACTCAAGTCAATACAAAAACCTCAAGGAATATAACTGCAATGGAAATCTGTTTATGCCAGCATAATCAGATATGACCTGTGGAAGCACTTTTTAATTAAAACAGAAGTTATAGTACCTTGCATAAGGACTTGGACACAAGCTTGTTAATATCAGCTTTCTTTTTCACTTCAGTTAGGTGGTAACATAAAACAGTTTTACTAATTTCAGTACATTTTTCAAGCTCACTGAATAAAGCAAAAGAACTTTCGCTGTTCAGAAAAAGAACATCGTTGTTGGCATGTAAAGCCTGGGAACAAGATTCACATTTATGAAATATTTTCAGGAGACCATACAAGACCTGAATCTCATTTTAACACATGGACAATGAAGAAAAATACACATGACCAGATATTGTTAGATGTCTTCCGAAGTACTTTTAGGACTTCTCAGATTCCACACTACAGTAGTAAAATATGTGTAAGCTTAGTACTTACCCACAGAGGCATAATCAGTTGGAAGTTCAGGATAAAGTTTGTTTGTGTTCTTTTTAGCTGAAAGAGAAAATTAAGTAGCAAGTTATACGATATACTAACATATATTGTTATATTTCATATACTACTTTTCTAATACATGTTCAATAGTTCTGTAATTATTGCAGTTATCTAAGCAGCACTACAGAAGAAAGAAATAAGGACTTTGCCTTATATCCTTGTCCAGAGAAAGAAAGCAAGTTAACAACAGGAGCCACACAGTAAAGCCTCACTTTCAATAAGAGCGCTTTGGCAGACAAACTGTTATGGAGCCAAAACTCTGCCTCCTCTGCTCTACTGGGAGACCTCTACCTATTAAAAGATAATGACAACCTAAAAGAGAAATTTTAGTTTTCTAGAATCCAGAAGTTTCTAGAAGTAGGACTAGCAGTTTCTAGTAGGACTGTTCTTTTTATGAAGAAGTTTCATTGTACCATGGGGCTTCTACGTATCCAATAAACATGAATGCTTCCTTTAAACTATTACATGCTTCTGCAACTATACAAACACTACTTCTATAGCTAATCTGTCAGAGAGAAAAGGTTTGTTAATATAAAACAAACACACCCTTTACCCTTTATCGCTCATGGCACTATCCCAACACGCTTTCAGTGTTTGCCCAAGGAAGACTATTAACAAAATATTTTCATAGAGACAGCTACTACTATAATAATTGCATAACATTTATTAGCTTTAATGGTTTAATTTTATAGAGAGAATAAATTAATTATTACGAAAATGTTTTCTAACCTGGTGGTGTTGGCCTAACAGTGGGTTTAGGTGGCTCTGGTCTTGATGGTCTAGCAGGTGGGTCATTTACCTAAAATGCAAAAAAATTTTTTAAAAAAAATGCATCACACCTGGAAATGGATTCTAACTTCAGAGCCTAGAGGGATGTCAAGTTACACTGAAAAAAATATCAATCTTTCTCCACTGAAATTGTATGAACTCAAGAAGCACACTAAAGAACTACTGACATACAGATGACTGTAAAGTAATTCAACATGATTTTAACAAAGATGAAAGTAAATGATTGTCTGTAACATCAACATCTACAAGAAAACATCTTCTACAGTTCTCAGTATTGTATTGTAAATGTGATTGTTTGAATGGAAGACAGAAAAAGTAGAAAAATTAAGACTATCCACATCAAACCTGTATGTTCATTATTTACAGATTAACTTGATTAGGAATAGTTGAACAAACTTCTCTAATATCACCTCAGATTTGATTACGCACTATTGTAAGAACAAGGATATATTTTGTTATTCTGGAGGACATAAAGTAAAACTAGCAACATTCTTGTTCAGAAGAGCCTACCATGGTGATACCTGAAAGAATGTGTCACTCACATGCAGTACCTGTAATGTGTCACATCTTTAAGCATCCAACAGAGAACTTAAGAATGCCACATCAACATCATCACTGACTAGAAACAGTTCAGGAACAGAAAAAGCCTATGTGAGAGAGAGGTGCACAAACCCTTCTTTGTTCCCTTACAGCTTTTCCTGGATTATTTTTTTGCTCTTCATTTTCATATACTTCAGTGAAGGATGCTAGAGTTTCATAAAGATCTTCTGCTTGAGCAGGAAAAGGCACATCACCAAGTAAGATGGCACTAGCCCGAATATCCTGCCCATAAAACCTGATACAAAAGAAAAGATGCCAGGTATTTGATCACCATTATATTTTAATGTCTAGATTAAGCCATCTTGTTCAAATGTTCCTCCCCGCTCCCCGGTCCTGCATTTCTCCTACTGATCATCTATTGAGAAATGACAGAACTAGTTCAATGCTCTAAATTTTGAATGATAAGTAATTGCAGCAAACTTGAATGCCTACTTACCACCTTATTTCAAAATGTTCTTCACCAGTAATATTTCGTTCCTGGTCATGCAGTATGCATCAGCTAGACCATTTGAAAGCCAATCACACAGCAAACTGAAGAAACACACCCCACATTTGGAAAACATTGTAATAGATTCCTTAATGACATAGTAAAATTCTTTAATGGAAGCACTGGAACGTCAATTTTATAAATGGAGATAGCTGAAGGTTACTGATGTATTGTTATTAAAATCACTATTAGTCTTTGCTGACGTTAGCAGAATCAAAGTTTTCATAAACACAGAACATACAAGTGCAAGACACTCAGAGATTCCTTGGATTTTAAGCTTAATGGGCTACACAAAGGAGGCAGCATTTCGTAAGCTGGGTATTTTCTCAAATTCAGTGATGCTCTAAACCAGATTTTTTTTTTTTTGTTTGAAGTGGCCTAAAAGAATATTTCTCATTATGGAAATAGTAGTAAAAACCTCAATACCTATCTTCTACAATATTGTACTGGGTTTCCATGGCAAGCTTTTGGTAGGGGGTGGTGCTGCAGGGATGGCTTCTGTGAGAAGATGCCAGAAGCTGCCCCATGTTGGACAAAGTCACTTCCAGTCAGCTCCAAGATGGACCCACTGCTGGCCAAAGCTGAGCCCATATGTAAGAAAGGGTAAAAGAAGTTGCGCAACAGCAACTGGGAAAGAGGAGTGAGAATATTTGAGTGAGAACTTTGCAGACACCAAGGTCAGTGAAGAAGGAGGGGGAGGAGGTGCTCCAGGTGCTGGAGCAGAGATCCCCCTGCAGCCCTTGGAGAAGACCATGGTGAGGCAGGCTGTCTCCCTGCAGCCCATGGAGGTCCATGGTGGAGCAGATATCCACCTGCAGCCCGTGGAGGACCACATGCCAGAGCAGGTGGAGGCACATGAAGGAAGCTGTGACCCTGTGGGAAGCCCACGCTGGAGCAGGCTCCTGGCAGGACCTGTGAACCCCTGGAGAGAGGAGCCCACGCTGGAGCAGGTTTGCTGGCAGGACTTGTGACCCCGTGGGGGACCCACACTGGAGCAGTCCGGTCTTGAAGGACTGCACCCCGTGGAAGGGACCCATGCTGGAGCAGGGAAACAGTGTGAGGACGGGAGGAGCGGCAGAGGTAAAGCTTTATGAAGTGATCACAATCCCCATCCCCATCCCCCTGTGTTACTCAAGTGGAGGAGGTAGAGAAGTTGGGAATGAAGTTGAGTGCGCAAATATGGGAGGGGTGGGGGAAAGGTGTTTTTTAGATTTGTTCTTATTTCTCATTATCCTACTCTGTTATTAACTGGCAATAAATTAAATTAATTTCGCCGAGATGAATCTGTTTTGTCCCTGACAGTAAATGGTAAACGATCTCCCTGTCCTTATTGCGACCCACGAGCTTTTTATCATGTTTTTTTCTTCCCTCATCCTGTTGAGGAGGGGAGTGAGAGAGTGGCTTGGTGGGCATGTGGTGGCTAGCCAAGGTGAACCCACCACAGATATATAATCTCTAAACATTCAAAATCTTCTCAATACCCATTGCATGATGTCTAAATTGAAGACATCCTTGCCCCTCAAGAAATTCTAAACTCAGCACAGTACGTTCTCAAAACATTTCTTCCAAATTAAATGTGTCCTAGTTAATTTTGCCACTATGCCTTCACTGAATCATCTCGATTTGAAGAGAACTTACTTGCGATTTGTTTCTTTCCTTTCAATTAAACAGGTTCCTTCCAGAGAGACACCTGCAAACAGTCCTCGAGATTTGCAGTATGTATAGACAGCAGCAGAGCTTCTCAGGGCAACATCCCCTTCTAAGTTTCTAGAAGGAAAAAGGTTTTGGTTGATGTTCTTCAATGTGGTTTTGCAATGTGAACAGCAATTGTCTTTTTATTTTAATCCTGCCAAAAGCCTGCAAGAGTTTCACTTCTCTCTGTTCTTACAAACCCTATTGAGTATTCAGCTGGTCAGACTTGAAATCCATTTTCAGTTCTTATTTCTGAGTACAACATGAATCATTTACCACTTCTTCAAGCCTGATGATCTGGTTTTTCACCTATTTACAAGTCTGCCCCACCCTGACACCTAGGCCACAATGTCCCAGCTTGGACATGGATGTTGCAGGACAGCATGCTGAATGTCTTGCAAGGCAAATAACATACATTGCCCTCCCCTGATCCACAGATCTATCTCACCTGTGAAACAGGTATCATCTTATCCTTTCATTTTTTCAGAAGGCATGAGTAAAAACATCATAAACAAAGGCATAAGGAGGCGTATGTCCCATGAGAAGAGTCTGATGCAATTGGGCTTGTTAGCCTGCAGAAAAGACAACTTGGAGGGGACCTAACAGCAGCCTTCAAGTATCTATGAAGAGGCAATCAAGACTATGAAGCCAGGCTCTGTATAGCAATGCATTGTGGAAGGACAAGAAGCTATGGATATAAATTGAAACAAGAAATGTTTTGATCGGATGTAAGACAGAACTTTTCACAATGAGGACAGCTGAGCAGTAGAGCAGATTGCTCTGAGAGCCTGAGCTGTCTCCATCTTTCGAGATTTTCAAGACCCAGCTGGAATAAAGGCCTGAACAACCTGATCTGAAGTCATAACAGACATTGCTTTGAGCAGGAGATTGGACTAGAGATCTTCTAAGGTCCCTTCCAAATTAAATCATTCTGTGATTATGAAAAGGTATAACACTATAAGAACAATATGGTCTAGTCAACACATAGGTTGCACAGGTTGTTTTGTAATATATCAAAAAGTCATGTGAATATTTATATATAGCTTTAGAAGTTATCTTCCATATTTAATTCTACCCCATATTAGACAGTACTTTACTCACCTCCCCAGAGGTCCAATTGCCACAGTAAGATTTCCTCCAAGTGTAAGATTCCCTCCTTTGGCAAAAGCTTCTACTGCTCTTTCATGATTCAATATTATCACTAAGTCTGAAACCTACAAAACATCAAATAAAAGTACTATACTTTTTAAGAAGGTTAGAACGGCATGGGGGATGAATCTTATGTTTTGCAGGAAAACAAGTGGGAGCATTGAAGATATTCCCTTCCCCAAATGAAAAATAGCTCCAGATTTATCCATGTTTTAATTCAAGTGAGAATCTCTCATTCTCTCAGAGAATTACTTCCTTTCTTGCAAAGGATTCTTTTGAAACAGTTTTCATAACAAAGTTGATACTTTTTCTGCAAGACATTTAGAAACTAAAAGTCCTTTCACTTACATTTTTAAGCAAATTTGACTGTTAAAGTGTAATATGGTCAGTACGTGATAGACAACAGCTGTAACAAATGCTATTTTAATTTGAAATTTCCCAATTAAGAAATTTTTATTTTCTATGGCTTTTGCAAACAATTATGAAAGTATTTTCAGATGTGAAGACATCAGATTAAGAAAATAATTTTGATCCTTCTATAATTGAATTAATAACAGCAATTAATAACAGCGGAACTTAGTAAACAGAAATTACTTGTCTGTCCAAAGAATAAACAACAAAAAAAAGAGTACGTGTTTTCCCATTTTTGACAAAATTTTATTTACTTGATCAGAAAATAGGGGTTTAATATATATCTAAGTGTGTGTGTGTGTATATATATATGAATTAATATTTGTTTTTTAAGGACTTAAATATATGAGATGTAGCAATTTCTTCAAGAAACTATTAAACCAAATAACTGGAGAGCTAACAAAGTATTTTTGAAAGATTCAAATGCAAAATGAAAAAAACCTGTTATTTTTAAAGAACTTTATTTGCCTGGATAGTGAAACAAACCGCATATATCAAAGAACTACTACTACTATTTAAGTTGATGCCTATTACCATCAGTACTGTAAAACTTTAACTCTCTTCAATTTAACGAATTTCAATATAAGTCTCCTACAACTCTTTTCCCGAACTATGAAGCATTTTAAAGACGGAAAAAGTCTTTTAAATATAAGCATGATCCTATAAAGATCACTCTATCTTACCTGAAGGTTCAGTAAAGACACTACATGTATTAAAAAAAAAATACACTGCAGCAGTACCAGCCTGTTCAACAGAGTAGATTACACTTTTGTAGTTTACTGTGATGGATTTTTTTTTTAAACAGATGCCCAAGAACTACTGTGCCTGATCTTTCATCTGATGGACTTGACTGAAAGCCAGGTTCAGAAAAAACTTTCAACTTACCCCAAATTCCAAACAGTGACAGCAGGGAATACAAAAGGAAATACCAGATTATTTGCAAAACAAGGCTGGCCCAGAAGTATTACATGCAGCTTAAGAGAGGTCTTTGTTATAAGCCCACCCAGTAACCTCCACCCCATCCCAAACAAAAGATGGCTGACATGAGCAGCTTCTGAATCATCCAGGGATGGAGAGAGAGAATGTCATTCAGGATGCTGCTACTTCCTCTTACCCACTAAGAGGATGAATCCACAGCTAAAGCTAAATGAGTCCACGGTGAGAAAACCTTCAAGGAAAGCATTTAGATGAATTTTAAAATTGGTCTTTAATTTGAGGTACCACATTGTTTCTCTTGGAAAAACATGTAAATACCATCACTTCTGAAGTCTGTGAATTCCTTCTCATTGTTTAAAACCACTCGTAAGTACCACTACAACTATGTCAACTGTAATCCCTCCTACAGGAATAAAATTCAACCAATTTCTACAAGGTTTAAGTTTATATATGACTAAAAGAATGCTGAAATTGGACTATGGGCTCCTAAGCCACTTAAGTATTTCTGAATAGCATCCCTTCTCTAGAAGTAGTAAATAATATTATGTTATAATAATGCCAGTAAGGAACAGTATTTTGTAAGCTGACTAATATTTCAAATGAATATTGCACAATATTGCTCAGAAAAAACACCATCTCAGAAATTGCTTCTGTATTGAAATTATTTAAGTATCAACAGTAAATGTTTATCTAAAATATCAGATGGAGATGATTAAAGGAAAAGTTTCATAGCTTAAAGCATCTGAAGAGTCTGTTTCATTATTATAAAAGCAAAAAAAAAAAAAAAAAAGCCCCCAAACTCAAACCATGGGGCTGAAACTCAACGATTTGTAATGCATTTAGATCCTGTAGTCATGAAAACCAAAGAAAAACCCTTACAAAACTTAGTAATTTTGCATTCACAGCATCCTTTAAAAAGTGCACAGCAATAATGCCTGAGATCACACAGTGAACAATGAGGATACAATAAAATATTGATCTGTTGCCCATTACGTGAGTGCTGGCTGACTGGCTGTCAGGACAGGGGTAGCTGGTTAGTCGTAGGAGACACACTGGGGGTGGTGTGGGCCACCCAGATCAGCTATACGTGGAAGGCCAGGTTGGATGGGGCTTTGAGCAACCTGGTCTAGTGGAGGGTGTCCCTGCCCATGGTAGGGAGTTGGAACTAGAAGATCTTTATGGTCCCTTCCAACTCAAACCATTCTATGATTCCATGATTCTTCTGAAGAGCAGAACGTCCATAGCAAGAGATCTTGTTGGCAGCATACTGTTACTCTGATTTTCTTTGGGAATCAGCAGAACAGAAACTAAACAGAAAGAAAAGAGCAAAACAGGTCCGAAGGCTAGGGTGGGAAAGAGGAGGAAAGATGGAAACAAACAAGGGTGAAGGAGCTGTGAAGAACAAGAGATGGGAAGCAGAGGCAGAGAGCTGTCAGGGCTCAGATCAACAGGATTTTTCTGAACATGTTGAGAGTCCCTTACTCAACTGTTTCTGCTGGCTGGAAGTGGCTCATTTTTTGTAGCATTCCTTCAGAGGGGGCACCATCACTTTTGGTGCTCCCAAACTGAAGGGTGAAGTCAGTAATCACAAATTTAAGCGGGAAATGCGCGAAGTACAATAGCATTAGCTAGGCTCCATTTTACTCCATCTTCAATTCCTTTCATTGCTTCTTGCCAGATGAGATTCCCTGTGCTCTTTTACAAAGCATTGATACAGTATTAAGTATAGGACACTTTTAATTAACGCCAGTTGGCTTATATGTGAACACTGACTGGAAATTTTCCATAAGGGAACAAATCAGTCTGCTAGAAGTGAGAAATCGAGGAAATAGCCGTTATGCCACTTCTTTTCCTTTAAATCTGTCCAAGCAATTAGACTGATCAAATCCCCATATTTTGTTTGTCTTGTAGAAATGAATTTATAATAGGGTTTTTTTACACAGAAAAATAGATCCTACTATCTCACCAACGTTTAGATCTTTGCCGATGCATTTTAATTTCTTGCAAAAAAAGTTACCAACAAGTTATTTCAAATGCAAAATTATACCTCAATTCCAATTTCAAATCCACCACCAAGGCCAGCAATTCCTATTGCAGAAGGAGCAGACCAGGCTGTCATGCAAAACAAGACAAATTTACAGAAGTTTTAACATGTTCCAAGACATACTAAATTTATTGTTAAGAGTTAAAAAATGCTAAGAAGTTCTCTTTTTAAAACTATGTTCACAACTACCATAATGCAATCACATAACTATACTGGTTTATCCCACTGGTAGGAATGTAAGAAATACAAACCCTCATTTAAACAAATCTTTGTTACAAATTATTTATCACACAGTTGTCCATGACTGGACATAATTAATTATTCTAATGAATATTAAACTATAGGCTTTTATATTTCAGACTTTTCTGCAAAGATAATGAAAGCATTATTTAAATCTGGTCCAATGTAGGCACAAAGTTTTGGAGACAGCTTTCAAACCAAACATTGTCACCTGCTGGCTTGACTCCTCACACATCTTGTGTTTTATGTGATGAAAAGAAATAATGAAGAAAAAAATATGTTTTTTTCCTTTTAATTCCCCCATGAAGTAAAAAAAAAGGAAAACATCCACTTACTTCCATTAGGAAGACGAGCTAATACAATTCCACTTCCACCTCGAGCAGTCACCAAAAATCCAGCTTTGATAACAGACAAAACTGCAAGGCCTTTGGCTTTAGCTATTACATGGGCTGAAACAGCAAAACCATTTATTCAAGGTCTTTTAAGAGTAGTTTAAAGAGAAAGGAAAAATAAATCTCTACATTTAACAATTTTGAACACATAAGAGTCAAACAATCAAAGCAAAAGCTTAAAGAAAACTGCAATAAAGCTGAACTGATAATGACTCCTCCACTCCATAGTCAATCACAAAGCTAGTCACAGGCTACATTAACCTGCGTTGATCTCTACACTGCCACAACTGCTTCATCTACCCCCTTTAGCTCATAGAGAATTAGTTTACTTATTGCCATGAACGTTGTGTGTGAATACCCTTAGGAAGATACAGAGGCAGTAAATAGTTGTCATCTATGCCTTTAGAGATTTTTGGAGGAGAGGAGTCTGAATTTAAATCACAGCGACACACAGCAGCATAATCAGCTTATATCATTAGACAGTGTTTGTGGCAAATAAAGTGTCATCATCCTGCAAGTCTTATTACAGGCCTTCTGGAACAAAGTAGTTATAAATTCAAAACCACAATCAGCAACACCAGATGAAGGAAGACACAAGGAGAAACACAGAGTAACAATTGCAAAAATAAAGAGGACAGCAGCAAAGAATGCTTTATCAGTATCAAAGGATAAATGTACCCTGATCTCTTTCCTTCAACTTATTTTCACCTAGCTAATTCTGATAAACACAGATATTCAAGAACTAGAGCTACTGTTGCAGGTTCTCCCTTAAGTACAGGTATTCACAGGGTGAGCATGAGACGCTCCATCCACCCCAGAGAGAAGCCTTCCTGTGCAGATACCCTGTGGCTGTAAACATGTAAAAAATCTCTCCCAGTAAGTAATGGCTGCCTAGAATACAGCAAACTGAACCCCTATACTTCCAAAATATTTTCACAAAAGTTATGGCATCCTAGATCTTCATTCCTCCCTACGTTATGGTCAGTGAAAACAGAGAAAATTGAAAAAGAGAGCAGGATTTCAAACTAGGGAAGCACTGGAGGTTTTAGCTGAATCAAAATATTTTCTTTGCTCACGAGGTATGATTTTATCAGGTCCATTTCTGGAAGTTATTTCTGTGAATTCTCGTAATATTTTTGCTGCCTTCTTAGCTTCTGACTTCAAGTTGGAAGGTATAGGGTTATTCACTGTAAAACATGAAAGAAATAAGAAATTATTTCTATGTTCAGTTCAGGATAGCTCAAATAAAAATAAATCGGTTCAACTTGTATGGGAAAAGTGATTCTTTACAAATGAAGAGTAAACCAAACAAACTGGGAAACAGAAATGATCTTCTGCATCAGACCCACATTTTGTCTCTGATGGTAGTAACAGAAGACACCACTTAGGAAGAGCACACGAGCCCAGTCCTTTTCTGCAATCTGTTCCCCTCGTAATTCCTCACAATCCATACTGATAAGAGCAAGGATGTTGGAGATACATCCTCAGTTGTTCCTGTCACTATTTATATATGAGCTTGTTGCATATGAATTTGTCCAATACCTTTTCAAACCTGCTGATGTACTCTGCAGCAGCGGTTCACCACCTGCTACTTAAAGAAATACTTGATCTATTTTAAATTAACCTACTAGTTACAGTGAATGCCTGCTAGTTCAAGTCTCATGAATTCTGGTGAACTACTGCATCCAACTTATCCACTACCTTTATGCTTTTATAAATAGCCACAGCCCCCCAGCCTTCTCCGCTTCTTCAGGAGTCCCAGCCTTCTTAGCCTCTCCTCAAGGTCATTGTTCCATCACTCTGATCACTCCAATTGCTCTTTTCTGTACCACCATCAACTGTGCTGGTCTTCAAACCCGCAGCTGTTGACCAATGAACATAAAGCACTAAAAGGTTAACATCTCTACTTTCTCTGTACAATCATGACTTCTCTTACAGAACTGAACTTGCAGCATGTTCTAGAAGGGAACAAAAGTCTGTCTGAGACCAAGAAATTTCTTTTAGAAACCTGTTTCCTCTTGAAGTGCTTATCAATATTTTCTCTCCAATGTGATCCAACATAAGCACTCTCCATAGATTTCAACTGTGGAAAAAGTAGGGATTAGGGATAGATTATGTTTGCTTTATAAAGCCATAGACCACAGTCGCAAACACAAAAAATCTTGAAATTTACCCCCCAAATCCATGAGATCATAAATTCTGCAGAAGAGTGTTGATTTCATTTAGATCTACCAGATCTACTGTCATTAATCAACTACTGAACAGAATCAAATATTATAAAATATTAATATTCTACAACAGTATAAATACAATTTTATGTATGAATAGTATTGTTTCACCTGTAGATTTGCAAAAAGAGGCCTTAGGTCAGATAAAAAAACGTATCTAGCCTCACGTCTTGTCTCTGAAAAGAACTAGCAACAGCATTTCCATAAAATTCCACTGTTCTTAAATTCACAACAGCAGAAAAGACTGCATAGAGAAAAAACTTTCAATCAAAAGTGGCCTAGATTTTTAACTGGTGTTCTCTGAACATTCACCCACCTCTTCACTCTGGGCAGCATTCCCACCCAAAGCCACAAAGGTGAGGACTAAACACATTTTGAGATTAAGTCAATAAAACTTGGAGAGCAATTCAGTCCAGACTTAGTGAAACACCTAGCAGCAAATCAGCCAAGTTTCTGTCCAGGCTCCATTGACGAGAATAGGAATTACACCTCTACTTTTCAAAGTGAATTATATTTCTCTAGAATGTTCTCCAAGCAAGAAGGATGACTCCCAGAACAAGAAAGATGTTGACAGCTGAAATTTTGAACTAGCTTCCCCTGTGAAATCTTGTAGCAACACTTGGCTTTAGTGAAAGTGCAGCATGTATAACATTGGAGAGTTTGAAGTGACAGCAGCCATTACAAGATTGTGCAGAAATATCAGCCTCTCTGGGAATAGAAGGAAACACATGCATAGAATGCAACAGACTAAACTGTGTTGTGGTAACAGGGAGAAGACATTCTAATTCTGTCTCCTAATCATCCCTTCTGTTTTCAGAAAGTTAAGATGATGGCCAATTACTCATGTGTGAAGGGACCAGGGAAGGTGAAGGTCTAAACTCTAAGAGCTCAGAAATTTTAGAAAAAGCTATCGGCATGTGCAATTTTCTCTTTTATGGCACTAAAATTGTAAGCTAGCTTGCAGGAGTTTTGAACATGCATTTCTTCCTTGGTTTACCAGGCTTGGCTACATGGACACAGGAAGAAGAGAGGCCAGTGTAGCCCAAACAAAACATGAACAAACAATTTGCTTTTGGTAGATTAACAAACTGGGCTGGAGCAAATGTCTCCATTACTTCTGTTGTTTGTACTTGACATTGCATTCTCAAGGTCAGAGGGGAAACACTACCAGCATGTTGTAAGAGAAAAATAGGAAGATTTTTGCTTTTCTATGGAGACACATTGAGGCAGTCACAAAAAGCATACTGCAACACCATTCTTCTCAAGGAGGCATGAATACTACACTTCTAGCATATTATAACTTGTAATTCACAATTAATATTGTAACACACAGTACGTGTCCATTGCATAATCAGGTGAACACTTCTGTATGTAGGTTTTCACTTAACATATTTTGTAAGTCTAGAGGTCTCAATTTTGGGGAGGGTAACCTACCCAGTGTTCTCCAGATACACATTTCATGGTACTTAACTCTTCTTACTGTTCAGTAAGATTAAACTGGAAGATATGCTTCATTTTAACTGCGGTAAAATGGACAGTTACATACCTGACCATGCAGGACTACTAGCAAAGTGATCAAGACAATGAAAATAAGATGTATGCACACTGAATATCAAAAAAATTACAGAGATAAAAAATATTAAGTAGCAAAAATAAGCATTATCCAGCCTCTAGATTACAGAGAAATAAAACACATTTCTATGCTCCTCTCACTGTTCTCTTCCTTATCTTTGCAAGCCTTCTGTCCTCCCTTTTGCTTCTCTTTGGCCAACCTCAAAATTTTGAGGAACAGCTCCAATTCATTTCTTCTTATTACTAAAAAAGGGAGGGGAGGGGGGAAAAGGCTCTTATTTCAAACAGATTAGGAGAGAAATCCCTCAGCTAAGTCCACTGAGAAAACATGAGATGTTTTGAGATCTAAAAGTCTGTAAACAAGAAGAGATGAGTTTAAAAAAAAAAAAAAAATCAATTTACAGTTCTCATACGCATTTTCAGATTCAGAATTGCTTCAGAAAGATTTTATGGTTACCAGAAAACAGTGTGTGCATGTTTATGTGCACACAGGAGTTACTATTTAATTGAAAACAATTCAAAGCTGAACTTCATGAGCCAGCAAAAGTAACGCTGTTACTACCTCACTGTCTTTGTAACTCTCAATACATAACTGGTTTCAAAATCAGGTTTTGGTCACACCTTGGGGCAGAGGGAGGATGTCAAAGTAACCCTTTTCAGTCTTAACTTTGAAAGTGTCACGAGATGCCTAGGCTGACTTCATGATTTTCCTACCTGGTTTATTTTTATCCTGGTGTAGCTATTTATCTGCACTATGATTCTAAACAGTATATTCTCAAATGCAAACTTTGCACAGAAAAATAGCATTGCTTGAGCAAACTGAAAATTATGTATTTCCATTCCAATCCCTCCATTCTTTGTGCCACATGTTGTAGGGTTCCTTTACTACCAGGGAACAGGGGAGTTGGAGAGAGATTCCTTATCTAGCTGTACACAGCAACAGTAAGCACAAGAATAACCTAACTTCCCACCCTCAAAATAACAGCAGAAACTTCGCTTTCTCCCTATATTATTTGTTGCCTACATCAGTATTGCTTCTGCAAGCCCTGGATATCTACAGGAATTCACACTACCATTGTCCCTTGCTTCTTCCCCTCCTGCCACAGACTGATGCAATGCAGGATTATTTTTATGAAGTAAGAAACAGCAGGAGGATTTGACAACAACATGCTGCCAGTTACTTTGGATGGAGCCAGACTTAGGTGTTTTCAGAAGCAGGCTAAGAAATGGATGATATTTCTAAAGCACAGCAACAATACAGGGTGGGGGAGAGGGGTGGGGAGGGAAGGGAAAAAGGAAGAGATTGAACGCACTGTCAACTGAAGACCTCAAAGCTACGCCTCATAGGGTTGCAAGTAAATTGAAAGTAAGATGACTTACATCCAGATTTTAATTTAGACAGCAGCAGGTATAAAAATTAAAGTGACTTTAATTGGCTAGCAAGCATGGCACAGAAAGGTTTTAACAACAATGGACAGGATCAACAAGGCAACTGCTTGAACACTCATTGCTGAAAACCAACACAGTTACTCAAAGTGGTTACCATGATTCTTTCTACAGTGGCTCATTGTGAGTTCCTTTATTTACTTCCATAATGTTAGATAGACACTAGGGAACTAGCAGGATGCCTACAGGGGTCTTGAGGAAACGATGATATGTTTAAAAAAATAAAAATTAAAATTTTAAGACAACCAACAAAACCCCTCAAACAACAAGCCTACACCCTGACCTTAATTACAGCTATGATGCTTTATAAAGCCTGGCTGGACTCCCATTTTGCTAAGATTGCTAAAGCCACAGCAAAAGAAATCTAGTATTTTTATCACAGAGAGAGGTTTGGCTCTCCCTTTTAGGCTATGCCACACTCAAGATTTCATTGACAGAATTCAAGACTAAATAAGGACACAGACAACAATCAACATTAAAAAGGCAAAGTTTAATGGTTAGCTACACAGCGTGGGTGAGGCCTCACTCTTACTATCAAATTTTGGATCAATCAGTTTCATGAAACTTTGTCCAAAGGTAAAGGACATTATGCATTTTTCATTTAAAAAACCCACAGATAAGTAGAAAATTGCACAAATATGTCAAAGACAATTCAAAACTTTTTTTTTTTAAAAGAAGTACATGGAAGTTTGCACTACAAAATTGTGGTGTGAGCCCCAAAATACAATAGAAATAAAATTACTAAAGATTATAGTGAAGGTTAGGGACAAAATCTTGTTTCTACTTATTTTAATCACTGTAAAAACAGATAAAACCATAAGTTGGATTTCTGTGACATCAAAAATGGTTTAAACTTCTGTTCACCTACCAAATTGTCCTCTTTCCCCTCAACCTTACCTTAGGATTTGAAATGTAAAATTTTTTTCTTAAAACCTGAGTTAATATTGAGACTTCACTGAACAGGCATTAAAGAAATATCTGCTCTTTAATCAAAATATTGTACTAAATATTTAGAAACAAGCAGAATTTCCATGTTCAGTTTAGCCCTTCAGTAACATAAGGAATAATCCTGTAGCACTGTCTTCACTATTAGCTTTTAAGTATGCATATATAATTGTCTGTTTTGTATTCAACCAATGCTCAGGAAAGAGGTAACCAGGAGCAATAAGACAATAATATCTATCAGGAGGATATACTGACTGATGGATTTGGAATGCAGTGACCAGTGAATGCTCAGCTGGGAGCAAGCTTCATTTGCACTGCTGCTTGTTGTTGAAAGGAGAAGATATTGAGCATATGTGAGTCAGCAACACAAACCCCATGGGGGAATATCACACCAAAATTGATTAACTGCTTAATTTGTAAGCTGATGAGGCAAGTGCGTCAGCCTCTAATTTACATTCTGACTAACAGTAATAATGTGTTGGCTGAACATTTGGTGAAATTATCTGAGCAAGGTGTAATAAAGAATAAATACAGCCTTTTACTTAAAAGCTGTAACTGATTCTGATATAATAAAAATTCTGCTGAATATGAACAGATGAAAAAGCATGGTGGCATTATGAGAAGCTGAGCATCAAAAGTACAGTTTCAAATAAAATCAGCGATAAAGTGGAGACAAAGCCTCACATGCAGATTTCATACGTATGTTGGCCATGTATGTATGAGCTTTGAAGTATTTTGGTGGAAGGGGGTTTTTTGGTTATAAAAAGAAGAAGAAACAATGGCAAATACCTTCTACGAACCTCAGAGAGTAATTCAGTCTTCACTTTCACTTCACTAAGTTCAGAAACACCACAAGAATACATTAAAACATAGCTGATTTGCAAATACCCATGGTTATAGCAGCAACATCAATGCTAAAAAGCTAGTGTGAACATAGAACATTCAAAATTATAAATTAGGAACATTCATAAACATGAGAACTAGCATAGTCAAGAAAGGTGAAAGAACATCTAATGGGAAACAGAAACCTGAAAAGCAAGACAGTGCAGCGTTGGAGAGAAGCCTAAACAAGGGATTTCAATTCAGCATTACAATTAGAGATGAATGTAATTTTGGTTTCACAAACATGTAACATCGTGGTACTGTGGTAGCCAACTCCAGTCCTGGGATTCATCTGGTGCCTGGAAGTCCTTGCACAGCGTGCAAGACGTGCACTGTACGCATTTTACCTAGCCCAAGAAAAAGCGAGGTCATTTAAAACAGTGGACGATAAGCAGCAGACTAAGTTAAACACGTTTCCATCAGTCTCCCTCCATTTACTACTTTCAACACTTGAAGCCAAAGGTCCAGGTCAAAAGTCAAGGAAAGATCTGTGGAGTCCAAGGTAGTAGTGGTAGAAATTGAAAAGGATGGAATAAAATAACAGTAATAACCACCCCCTTTAGCTGAGACCCAGCAGGCTCCTACTGTCAGAGCCTGAGCTTGCACTCCTGTTTTTGGAGCCAACACCAACAAGCAGATACTGTTTCCTTGAGACTCCAAGGAGGAGGAAAGCTTCAGAACATGCACTTTGGTCATCCTGCTGGAAAGCACTAATGGTATGGCAAAAAGGAGTCTAGGAAAGCAGTAGCAGGGAATGAGAAAGTAGCAATTATTGAGAGGTTCATGCCAATTATGTATGTTGTACAAGTCTGCCACAGGCAGCTGGAAAACAGCAAGAGAGACAGAAGACAACAGAAAATACATCAGTGTAAGGCAATGAAAGCAAAGTTAAAAAGGAGAAAACATAGTTTCTCTGTACAGTGAAGCCTTACACTAATCTCATGCATTTCTACCATGCTCCTCATTACTTGGATTCCTGAAATTTTACCAACTTTCACACAGTACTGTTCCTCAACAAGCTTAGCATGAGTACTTAGTGCTCTGTCAGTGGTAGTAAGAGTTGTGGCAGGGTACAAGTACTTCAGCGGGAGCCACAAGGCCTCACAAAGTTGCAGCTGAGCTGCACTAAGACCGGAAGACTGTAATGTGTGCCTTCACAACCCTAAAGGTTTTTGTACCATGAATTAACGCAACTACTCTTTCCTCCTTCCCCACCCTGGCTAACAAGAGGCTTACTGGATGGTATTGCATTAAGAAGCTGGTGCTGGCAGCGGAGGGGGAGGGAGAAGAGAGCAGAACCTGTTGCCCTCAGCATACAGAAAACAAGGAGTTGGATGTATTTTAAGGTTTACCTGAGACAGATGGAAATGTAAGAACAATCAGATTTTTCTTCTCAAATGCTGCATTGGAAGTCAAATGGTGCTTAAAAATAAAGCTGAAAATTAAAACCCACCACTCTTACCCATGTCAAAAACAATCAGTTTTTCCTTGTTTCACCTGCGATAACCTGCTAAAGTTAGACATTGACAACAGCCTGTGCACAGGAAAAACCTCACGAGCATACTAAGTTAAAGTAAATTCAGCCTTTAAGAACTCAAATATGAAAAAGGAACGTCACATAACAGACAACAGCATCTTCTCTGAAAGGAAAATAGCCCAACAATTGTATTTCTCAAAGAAGAGAATCTCACAGACATTTCTATCACTACATAATGCTATTTACAGTATTTTGAAGACTTTTTTATTCAATTGGTGAGAGGGCTATAATAAGAAATCATTCTTGAATTTATGAAGCTTACATTTCCAAAATTACACATATATATATATTTATATATTCAAATCACAGTAATTTGAGGTGGAAAAAATGACAAATGCCATTTTAAAGATTAGTACTCCTGAAAACCTGTATGGAATCTTGCATTGCATCTGTATGCTTATTCCAAGACAGCTAAGAAGTCAGACAACGATGAGAAACCCAATCATCTACATTTGGATTTTGGTATGCAAATACACGGTATGAAGTCAAACTCAAACCTACAGAATGACAAGTCTTCATTCAAAAACAAACCATTTCAAACACAGAAGCCTTTCCACTAATAGAAATGAAGGAGATAGCAGATGTCTGTCTTTTTTCTCATTTCTGTAAGCCTGTGATTTTCAGTGAGTTTTTTTGGTTTGTTGTTTTTGTTTTGGGGTTGAGGGGGGGAGGAGTTAGCTTTTTTTTTTTTTTTTTTAATATATTACTGTGAGTTATGGAAATCAAAATACCTCTGAAGATAACCCAAAGGAAGCCAGTATTATTGGAAGCATGCAACTGTGGTAACTCTGAACCTGGACAGGGAAACTGCCCCATCCCCAACCTGCACTTGTACTACATTTATTATTAGTTGGTGTTCCAAAGCAAATTGCTCTTCATAGCCTTTACAAGCACCTAACTTCGGGAGTTTCTGCTATGACTTTTTTTAAAGGAGAAAATGACTCCTTCCTGGGCAAGTTTTCAGGCTGTTGTCCTCTAAGCACAAGGATTTTGTAAACTCAAGTTTACAGAGATACAAACTGAGATGTTAGCTGATAACCTTTCTGAAAGCAAAGCAAAATTTATTTGAAATGCAGTAATTACATAAAATAACACATCCAAAAATAAGCTTAGACTCTGAACAGGCTATCTGAATAAATTAAATTGTATGAAATGTGATAAAAGTATTTATGCCTGTTAGCTATGTCAGTGCGAATATTGTATGCATTTGGACACAATACCTGACAAGGTTATTGGTCAACTGCTCGTGTTGACAAGCTGGCTTTTCAGATTTTGCTGCCAATTATGTATGAACTTCTAGATCACAGGACCTCAATATTTTTCATATGGAATATCTGTTTTGATAATGGTAAAAGCCCCCCCCCGCCCCCCAACACACAAAAACCCCCATGCCCGCAGTTTCATTGTGTGCATATTCTTTATTATTTTTCTCAAAAAAGAGGAAAGGACTTAACTAATCCAAACACAAAGTGAATCACTTGGTAACTTAATGGGATGTCAGTCCTCAGTCCCAGTTTGAATTAACTATTTCCTTGAGAAAAGTCAAGGAATTTGAGAAAACCTGTAACACACAGAGCCACCCACATTATCAAAAGCACTTGATGAGTTGGGTGCCCAGCATTTTTTGTACCTCCAAGACAGCTTGCAGGAAAGTTTAAAAAGACATGCTGAATTTCCTCTCATCCCCTACAAGGATGAATTTTCTGATGAGAGTTGGAATATATGAGGGTAAAATGATACTGACATAGCTGAACAAGGCACTTTAAAGAAAAATGTGTTCTCTTTGTACATGTAAGATGTTTCAACTAGGTGAGATCTCATTTCTAAGGAACTGTGGCAGTGAAGACAGTCACTATCTGCCTGAGGCACAGCTGAATCAGAGGATTTGTTCCACAAAAGCACATCAGACATCTGTTCAACTGCACAGGAGGCAGAGCAGTGAAATACCTTGAGCTAAAGGTCTTCAAAAATCCTTGTAACTTTTAGCAATGACAAGAATGCTAAACTCCTGAGTCCACAGTTCTACAACTGAGTTGCACCCTTTGCACTAGGAGAAAGGATAAACACAAGGGGCATGGGGAAGAAATCACTCAGTTTGTACAAGGACAGTCAGAAAACAGCATTTTCAAGAATATAGAGACAGTGGTACGCTCTACAACAGGAACAAAAGGCAGAGTTAACTTGGGGGTTGTTTGAGATTTAACAAGTGAACTCTTCCAAGAATTTGTACTACAAGAATTGCAGGCTTCTGCTCAAAACACGCCACCACACCTACCCACTCTGTCACCCAAGCCCTGGGAAACTGTCTACCTGAAACACTTTTAGCAAGTCTTTCATGTACACTTGTTGTAATATGTTTGATGTGTAAACAGTTGGTACCAAAGGGGTTGGGTGCTGCCCACCAAGCCAGATAAGTAGCATGACTGAAGAGAAGTGAGAGCTAGGAATTCAGTTCTGCCTGTCTCTCCTCATGTTAATACAAGAGTTAGTATGATATGTGAAATTTAGACATGGGCGTTAGGGGAAAATCCCAAAGGGAATCCCAACTTTGTCTTGCTAAGTCTATTTAATCACGAAGAATATGCTTCAAGGCAATCCAAGCAGGTAAACAAGTACATTAATCTTTACACAAGAAAGCTTTAATTAAAATGAAGCTGTGCTTTTAAAAACAAAATCCTAAAAACCATCTTATCTTCTCACCAGGGACAGAAGCATAGCGAGAACAAAAAATGTGACATACTACAACCCCAATGTGCACTACACAATAGCCCTGTATGCCATGACAATAAACTAAATGAAAAAATGTGTGGGCACCTTAACAAAATACAGACTCCAGCAGAAAATATTTAACACTGCTATCAGTAAAATTGCCACTATCATTCTGTGTCTCTCATTTCCCCATTTCATACACATCCCAATTCTCTATGTGCACTAGTCAAATCTATCAAGTTACTAATCCCACAATGAATAATTTCTACAATTAATCACACAAGAAACATTTCTTCAAACTAAAAGGAATAAAGAATATTTAAAAACAAAATGCCAAAAAGTATAAATGCTTGATATTTATTAATCAAGAGTTTGAAGAGTCCTGCCTAAGCTCTTAGATTGTCTTGTTCACAATAGCGTTTCTCTTCCACTAAGTCATACAGCCTATTCTTCATAGCAGCCTTGCAGTACAGGCTCTTTCACAGTAACCTAATGGATGTTTAAAAACCCATGAATATAGAGAGCTTACCACGTCAGAAACAGTAATTCTTAGTGGTGAGAAACAATGATACAAGACAAAGAACAACAGTGAATTCTGTTACAGTTCGTTTCAAAGGTACAAAGTTGACATTAACTGAAGAAGGTACAGACTGTGACTCTCTTCCACTACAGAGGGCTGAGAATGCAGAACAACGCTTAAGATAATGATCCTCCCCACTCCTCTCCCCGAGACACAGAAGCATGAAAAACTTCATCTCAAAGTTGGAGCTAGGCATGTACCTACATGTAATGCACACACACACAAATACTGGGTTTTATATGAACTCCAGAATGGTCTTTCAAAGCACTCACATCTATGTACAACCTCATTGTTCCCCCGACTCACGTATGCATAAAAAGATGGTAGTGGGGAATCTAGTTCTTATATTGACACCTCAAGGCACTCCACTTGATAAAAGCAGAAATAAAGGCACTCTACACTGCTCAGGTTATATAACATGACAGAGCTACAGGTGAGAATTACACAACCAACTCATTTCATCCTTCTAAACATCTTCTTCCTTCGCCGAGGCCACATCTGATAACTGAGCAGAGCCGTGGCCCCTTCTGGCTCCACCACCTTGCACTCCTGACACCTGCAAGCAGACCTGCACAACAGCAGAGAGCTTCACTGCGTAAGGAGGGGAATGCTGGATAGAAGATGATTACCAATCATTTCCACTGCAAAGTAAAATAAATAACTATTTTTAAATGCAGTTGTACAACTGCGTTTATGAAAAAAGTGATGGATGCAGGCCAGCATATGAAGTTGCATAAAAGGAAATGTGCTATTTGTTCCATTCCACAGAAATTATGCTACATATAAGCTTTTTAGGTTATAACAGTTAATTAGTCACCACTTTAATTTGGAAGTCATAGATTTGGCACAAAATTTAGAATCTGGCATTTTTATTTAACCTTCAAAGTGCTGCACTTTGACTGAGAAACAAGGCAAACAAGTCTTAAAAGCAGCAGAGGAATCCAGTCCCA